TTTATTCGTCGTCGGAGATCCCCCTGTAGGGGGACACGCCCGACTTCACCACAGGCAGGGGCGGCGCCGCCCTGCGCACTCGGCCCGGCAGCTCTCTCTCGTGGCGGCCCCCCTCCGCGGCCCCGGTGCAGGCCGTCGGCGCCCGCCGTGGGCCAGGGAGCGCGGCGCCGCTGTCGGCCTCTCCGGGTCGGGTGCTGCCAGAGGCGGACCGAGCATTTTCTGTGGGTGGAGGGCAAAGGGTGAAGTCTGGAAGGCCGTTTCGATCGATCTTCGAGGCTTCGATCTGCACGAGGGGAACCACAAGACGGATCGATTTTCGAGGTGCGAGAGCCCATGTGGATTTCACCCTGAGCCCGCAACCCTAAGAAACTGCTCAGGGTGGAGCCTGGCCCAGGGTGTCGCTCAGAGGAGGAAGAGGTACCCATACCGCTGCCCTCGCACCGCTCTTCCCTTTTGGGGCCTCCTGGAAGGCCCTCGTCGCCACCGCTGGATGCGCCTCGATATGCTGGTCAGAACGCACCCCCCTGGGAGAGGTCCGGGGGGTAGCGGTATCGGTGCCTTTTTGTCTCCCCGGCCTCCGGCGCTCCGGGCCCTCTCGGAGCCCCCCCCCAGGGCTCCCGGGGGCCTCCGTGAGGGGCGCTTCGCGGAGGCCTCGGGAGGTCTCCTCGCGGAGGTCCTGGGGACACCCTTAGGGCCAGGGGGGCAGCTGGCCTGCCCTCCTCGCCCCTCGAGCGCGGCCCTCCCCTCCGTGGGGACCCGTGGGCGCTCGCTCGCACGCCGGGGCGGCTGCCGCCTGCGAGGAGGGGCGTCCGCCTCAGCGGGAGGGTGCGCCCGCCCGCGCTGCCGCGCGGCGCCGTCTCCTCCGCGCTGCTGCCCGCGGCAGGAGCACTTGACGCGGGTCGGCTGCGCGAGCGGATCCACGATCTCGTGGAGTGCGCCGCGGCGGGCAGTGACCTGATCGCCCTCGGCGCCGACCCGGACGTGGCTGAGACGCGGTTCGCGTGCGGCTGGGTGCGTGCCGTGCAGTGGCAGCACTGGATCATCTCCGCGTTGCGTGCGCGCTGCTCAGGGGAGTTCCCAGCTCCATACTCAAGGGCTGAGGCGATGTTTGGAGATCTCCGCGCTTTCGCGGATTTGGAGGGGATTGTTGAGGCTTTGGCCTGGGGGCGGAGTGGGCTGAGTGGGTGGAATCCTTTGCCCCGCTGTCCAGAATCGTGGAGACACGGTGCCCATCGAGCTACAATGGTCAGTGGTGTCCACGTAGGCAAAATACTCACTCGGGGAAGTCCGGGTCGGCAGACTGATCACTCGCGGAATGACCGAAGAGGACACGATGGGCTCCCTCGGCTTTGTACTGCACACGGGCTTCCTGCAGGAGGATCTCCTGTCAGCCAGTTGTGGCGTCGGCTTCACAAATGTTGAAGTTCACTGCTGCCACTTCCGCCTACCTCCCTTCCCGACGCCGTTTTCTGCTACAAGCCCTCCCGACGCTAGGGCGGCTGGAGGGTTTAGCCTATTTTGACCTGCCTGCAGCACGGCAGAACCGCTCGTGGTGGAAAAACACGTCACATCGACAATACGTCTGCGCTCCAGCAGTCCGGGCTCCTCGCCGCGGGGCACGGGCACGCCATCCCCCGAGAGAGCGGAGCACGTGCTGCGGCCACTGCTAACCTTAAGTCGGGCCTGTCCCTGTACAGGAGGAGTATTCCAAAATAGTTCAACATATTCCGGGGACGATGTTTTAAAATGCGTAACAAAAAACCTATTTGGGGGTATTATGTTGAGTTTTTGTTCTTGTGTTTTTTCGCCAAAATCCGCCTGCATGGGACATGCCCGACTTGATAGAGAGCTTGCCACTGCCTGGCTCTGAGGGAGCTGGCCGCCGACGGTGACCCAGGGGTGTCCGCCCGTGTGCTGCGCCAGACGCTTCTGCGCCGAGGCGCTTGCCAGTCGCGTTCCGCGCAGATGAGCCTGTGCGGCCAGCAGGCTGTAGCTAGCAGCCCCTCGTGTGGCCGCCCGCGCCGCGCCGCGAGGCGCTCGTCAGAGAACAAGCAGCTTGATCCCGAGGGCCCGCGAAGAGATGTTATTCAGGAGAGGGAAGACACACACACACAGACACACTTAAATGTCGATTTCCAAAAAATATCGGGAACTATGGGAAGTGGGGGGATGACGAACATCAACCGAAACATTGAAACATTTTGGGACGCTTGTTATTTGTGTGTGTGTCCTTGGGCCCCTTCAGTTACGGGCAGTGAGGCAGTGCTGACAGATTGGGCTTTCCCTTGACGGCCAGGGCCCAGGAGGTCGTGGAGGAAATGTGCCGCTTGCGCCTGGTCCAAGAGTTCGCCTTCACACGCGGGTGCACCCTACCTCTCCTTGGCTCGGGGGTCCAATGCGCGACCTGGGCCATTCCTGCCTCGCCACTAGGACAGAGTTCGAACGCGCTCTGGGGATTGAGAGCCCTCGCTCGTTTTGCGCCTCCCTGCCGTTTGCCTCGCATGCGTCTGGGGAGGGCGCTCGTGGGCCCGTCGCCAGTGTTGCACACGCTGCGGGCCCATCGCTCCCAGCCCTACCCTCCGCGCGCTTGCTGCGTGTTGGCGGATTGAGACTTTGAGTAAGGCCTGCCTGCGGGCGTGCGGGAGGAGGGCGCTGCCCGACCAGGAGGCCTCCGTCGTAGCCCTTCCAAGGTCGCGGGCCGGTCGAAGCGGGCTGCCCAGGTGCGAGTGCGCCGTGGGGCCCGCGCGGAACCAGAACGGGCGCCCTTATAGGCAGGGAGGCAGGGACCCATGATTCAGGGCAGCTTCCTCTATTGCCGGAGCCTTTGCACTCGCGACTACAGTTACCAACGCGAGGCGGGTGGGGGGTGGGAAAATAGGTGGGGGCCCACGCCCATCCCTGCCCGCACGCTGACCCCCCCCCCCCCGAGGCCTTCCAGGCATCTCCTTTTCCGCGTTCCATCGCAGGGCAACGGTGTAGCCCCCTTCTCTCGTGGCAGAGTGGTGAGTGCGGCCAGGGCGTGCTCAACGCCGCATCCCGCCCCCCACCATTTCCCCGTCCCTCTCGCAGGTGTCCCTTGAGCAGACGCTGCCACGCCACGCCACGCCGTCCGCGGCGTCCGCCTTCGCGGCCGCGTGTGGTCAGCGGGCCGCCGGAAGGCAACGTGGACCATGTCCAGCCTGGGCCGGGCTGGACCTAAACGGTGTTTTGGCCATTTCGTGGGCCGTTTTCGTTCCGACAAAACGAAAACGAAAAACACTGTTTAGGTTCAGTCCTGAGCCCGGGGACACGCAAGGAGGGGGCGGGAAAGCAGGCCTGGCAGGCCCGCCCAGCGCGGCTTTCGGCAGGCCCCCGAGAGGGGGGGGCCAAGGCGGGGAGGGCCACAAAGACCGAGGAGGAGGAGGAGGAGGAGGAGGAGGAGGAGGAGGAGGAGGAGGAGGGGCCTGGCAGGGGGAGGCACCGAGGGCACAGAGCGACGTCGCTACGATCACTCTGCAGCAGCAGCAGCACGGAGGTTCCCCAAGCCCAGCAGAGTGGCGCCCGGGAGGCGACAGCACCAGCGGTGACGCAGGGCGCCGACTCCCTGTGCATTTCGGCATGCCGACCCTGTGGGTGCCACCCAGGATGACGATAATGCGGCCCTGAGGCAACTTCCGGCGTCGCATGGTGACTGCGCGACAACGCACCACCGAGACCACATTCCGCGTATGACGAGACACCCGAGCATATGGGCCCTCACCGGACAAGCGCTGCCCAATCATCTTCTGCGAGGGGCGGGGTGCGGCGGCCACTCGGGGGAACCCAGTGGCCGCCTGGCAGAGATGGAGGACCGGACCCACCAGAAAGCCTCTCCAGGACGGTCGGGGGAGCCCGCCGTCGGTAGAGTGCGGTGTGGAAACGCATAGCACTGACAGCGCGGCCCAAACCATGTGCTTGCCAAATCGGCATGCCATTGCAGCGCTACGACCAGAGAGACATAGCAGGGGGTCGCGAAGAGGAACAAAAACCTTGAGGGGCTTCCAGGAGACACAGCGAGACACAGCAGAGGCCCCCCCTGACCTTTCAAACAATCTCCCCTAAGAGGGGGTTCCTGGAGGGACCCCCCCCGAACCGACAAAAAGACCCCCTCTCAGAGGGTGGGCTTCCTGAGGGGAAAGCCCACCAATCCCCCATATCCCCGGACAGAATTCCACTGAGGGGTGGGGTCTGGGGGGGACACCCCCCCTAACCCCCTCCAAAAAAAACCCTCCTGAGAGGGGAGGGGGGTCCTGAGGGAAAACCCACCCACTCCCCCGAACCCTCAAACGAACCTTTCCTGATGGAGCGCTTCTGGAGGGACCCCCCCTCCCCTAATCTTACCGAAAACACACCCTGAGACGGGGGCTTTCTGACAGGAAAACCCACCACCCCTCGTAAACCCCTTCATAAAACCCTCCTGAGGGGGGTTCTGTAGGGGAAACCCACTAACCTCTCTTACCCCCCCCGAGGGGGTTCCTGGGGTTCCTGCGGGAAAACCCCTTCAACAAAAAGCTCTGCGGTGGGGGTCCTGGTGGAAAGCCCAACGACCCCTCTTAACCTTCATTAGCCTTCACAAAAACTTTCCTGGGGGGGTCCTAAGAGGAATATCTACCAACCCACCCGAACGCCCCCAACCCCCCAACCCCTTATGGGTGGGGTCCTCGAGGGAAGCTCCTCCTGACCCCCACCATCTGAGGGAGGGTTTTCCAAGGGGGGGAGGGGGCAAAACCTTGACTGAAGGGGGGTTAGGAGGGATTTCGAGGGGGAGGGATTGTAGTATTGTTTTGATTTGTGGCGCCCCGGAACCCCTTCAAAACCCTCCCAAACTTCCCCCCCCCTGGGTCAAGGAAAAAACACTCCGAAACCCCTCCTAAGGAGTTTCCAGGGGGTTCGGCAGAACTGCCACACCAGTCTCCCTCCTCCCCCTCTCCCTGCTCCCTTTCCCCACCCTCCTCACCCGCTTCATCCTTCTCCACCTCGAGTCCCACTGACCCTGTGGTTCATGGCTGCCCCGAGCACTCTCGCGGGTCCACAGCCCACAGCGCTGCGCCTACGGTCAATTTTCGTCGGTGCCCGTGCCCAAAGACGCACGGCCCGAAATAATTATGAATCGTGTCGTCATCGCGTGCCCCGCTCCAGTGCCCTGGTGAACCTGGCAGGAGTGGCAGGCCTGTCACGAGGGCGCCCGAAACATCGACCGCGCGAGCGCCCGCGCCCGCGCGATGCAGCTGCGCTTTCTCTCCACTCATCCCGTCCCCTCTTTGCCCCGCCCACCATCACGCCCACCTCCCCCGCCACTCCCCCAGCCCGTCCCTGTCCCCCCCGCTCGCTCCCTTCCCCTCCCCATCATCCCCTGCTGCACACCTCTCCCAGTCATCCCGCGTTCGGGATGTGAGGCTAAGCCACCCCAGAGCGTCAGAGAACGTTCTCAGAGCGTTCCGGAGAACGTTTGAGCGGCCGCAGCGCTCAAGTAATCGTTTTTATCCGTAAGGGCTTCGCCCCATGCCGCCGATCCCCTGTCTCGGATACTGGGAGATGCAAAAGCTAAATCATGAGGTCTGGGCGCCGCCGTGAAGCAGTGTCGGGACCTGTTTGTTTTTCGACCCTGACCCTACGGATCTGCGTCACGGGTGCCACCGAATTTCAGAGATGTGGCAAATCCCTTGTGTTTTTGGACCCTGACCCCGCCGATCTGCGTGAGGGGTGCCAGCGAATTTCAGAAATGTTGCAAATCCCTTGTGTTTTTGGACCCTGACCCCGCCGATCTGCGTGAGGGGTGCCAGCAAATTTCAGACATGTGGCAGATCCCAAGTGTTTTTGGACCCTGACCCCGCCGATCTGCGTGAGGGGTGCCAGCGAATTTTACAAATGTAGCAAATCTTTTTCCCTACCTAGGCTCTGCCTAGAAGGGTTCTTACTCTCTAGCTAAATGGGCCGGGCAATGGAAACCGCCCCGGGCGGTTCCCCCAGTCCCCGCCCCGCGGTTCGTTCCCCCAGTCTGCTGGGAGTTTTAGCCTTAGCTTTAGCTTTAGCTTAGCTTTAGCTTTAGCTTTAGCTTTAGCTTAGCTTTAGGTTAGCCTTAGCTTAGTGTTAGCTTAGATGTAGCTTAGCTTTAGCTTAGCTTCAGCTTAGTGCTAGCTTAGCTTTGGCTTAGCTTTAGCTTAGCTTTAGCTTAGCTTTAGCTTAATGGTAGCTTAGCCTTAGCTTAGCTTTAGCTTAGCTTTAGCTTAGCTTTAGCTTAGCTTTAGCTTAGCTTTAGCTTAGCTTTAGCTTAGTGTTAGCTTAGTGTTAGCTTAGTGTTAGCTTAGCTTTAGCTTAGCGTCAGCTTAGCTTCAGCTTAGTGTTAGCTTAGCTTTAGCTTAGTGTTAGCTTAGATTTAGCTCAGCGTTAGCTCAGCTTTAGCTTAGATTTAGCTTAGCTTTAGCTTAGGTTTAGCTTAGCTTCAGCTTAGCTTTAGCTTAGCTTTAGCTTTAGTTTAGCTTTAGCTTAGCTTTAGCTTAGATTCAGCTTAGATTTAGCTTAGCTGTAGCTTAGATTTAGCTTAGATTCAGCTTAGCTTTAGCTTAGTGCTAGCTTAGCTTTAGCTCAGTGTTAGCTTAGCTTTAGCTTAGCTTTCGCTTAGCTTCAGCTTAGCTTTAGCTTAGCTTTAGCTTAGCCTTAGCTTATAGTTAGCTTTAGCTTTAGCTTAGCTTTAGCTTAGCTTTAGCTTAGTGTTAGCTTAGCTTTAGCTTAGCTTTCGCTTAGCTTCAGCTTAGCTTGAGCTTAGCTTTAGCTTAGTGTTAGCGTAGCCTTAGCTTAGCTTTAGCTTAGCTTTAGCTTAGCTTCAGCTTAGTTTCAGCTTAGCTTTAGCTTAGCTTTAGCTTAGCTTTAGCTTAGCTTTAGCTTAGCTAGTTTAGCTTTACTGTTACTACTCATGCTGCTTTCCTAGGGGCTCCCACTCCTAGGTAGGGTCGCACTGGGATAATTTGTTTTTGGACCCTGACCCCGCCGATCTGTGTGAGGGGTGTTTTACCCAACCCAGCAATTCAGACAACACGCTCAGGGCGTGGTAAAAATGCCCGTTTTGGGACTCCCCCCCTCGCGCGGTCCATCAACAAGGAACAGTAAGCAGCAAGAAGTCAACAAGGAACAGTAAGCAGCAAGAAGCAGAACTGCAACAGTGGAAACTGGAAGCTGCAACTGGCACAGGAAACTGCGAAGCTTCGGCCTATAGCCTGGTGGCCCCACAAGGGGGCCGGCGGATTCATCGTTTTGCCGATCGGCTCGGGCCCTCGCACCCCCCCCTCCCCCCCCCAGTGGAGTAGATCTTGAACAAAAGAAACGTTCACCTTCCATGCCCACCAGATCGCAGATATCCCCGACGTGCCCCTGCCCTGGTCTCAAGATGGGCCCTGCCGAGAGCGTGTGGCTCAATGTCGGCGCCTCTACCCCGGGCTCCGGCAGGCTCCCCCCTCGGAAGGGAAAGCCCTGGTCCTGGGGCGCGCTCTGGATTCTCGGGATTCGGGGCAGGCCCTGAACTTCGACGTCTTGACTGTGTCCAAGCCGCGGTGCTCTGGCGTGGTCGGCCCCGGCATCCACATGGGGCGTTCCAGAAAGGGCCTGGGACTCCGGTTTGCGTTTCGACTTGATACTCGTTTTGGCTTTCGATGTGCATTTCGGTTTGCAGCTCGACCTGCGCACATGTCGTGTGTACTTGGACCTTCGTGCCGTGTTGCGTTTCCCATGGGGCAGCCACGGGACGACTGCGGGCCGCGGGACCACCCACAGGACAGCCCACGGAATAGCATGGATCAACCCACGGGACAGCCCAGGGCCCACGGGACAACCACGGGGCAGCCACAGGGCAGTCGTCTCGACAACCTTGGGATAATGCATGGTACAACCACGGGAAAACCACAGGGCAACCAGAGGACAAGCACGAAACGGCCGCGGCACAGCCACGGCGAGCCACCGCGAGGCGCACGGAGAACGGTTTTGCCCGACTCGGCAATTGCTACGCCGACACATCGTCGCCCTTGCGCAGTTTCGTTTCGCCTCGCCCGCACGCGCGACACAGACCGAGACTGACACAGGCTTCCCGGTTGGGCCCACCTCGTCCCGGCCCCCAATTTCGTATGTGGGGCGTGGCACTCGTGCGTGATGTCGGCCTTTGTGTGGGCCGTGGTTTGGAACCTTCTTGTCCCCCCCCCCCTCCTCCTCCTCCTCCTCCTCCTCCTCCTCCCTCCTCCTCCTCCTCCTCCTCCTCCTCCTCCTCCTCCTCCTCCTCCTCCTCCTCCTCCTCCTCCTCCTCCTCCTCTGTGTTCCTGCCAGCGCTCGCGCCCTGCGGGGGGAGCCGGCTGTGGCAGGCGAGCGCAGGCGAGCCGTGCGGAGTCCCGCGAGCGCTGGCGGGCCGAGCGGAGTCCCGCTCGCGCCGCCCGGCGGGCCCTCGGCATCGCTCGGACGTGTGCATTTGTCCTTCGGCGAGGGCCATCGGGGAGCCATCCCTGATCACTTGGAGAAGAAACCACGCACGAAACCGACAAAAAAAACACAGGGAAGGGACGTCCGAACGATGGCGAGGGCCTGCACGTCTGGCATGAAGTCGGGCTCGGCCCTCTGCAGGAGGAATGTTCCAAACGAGTCAAACATAGTCAGGAGGAAGAGTATCCAAAAGTAGTCAAAATATTCAAAACTACTCAAGCACAGTCAAAATCGGGGGCGGCAAAGAGGGGGTAATGACTAGGGGGGTGGATATCATGGCGGGGGCCATGCTAGTTCCCCAGATCTCATGGCGCCTCTTCTTATATTTCATTACATCCCTGGCCCCCCCGCTGGGCCGCGCACATGCCGCCGGTCATGATTTGCACCCCCCCCTCTTGGACACCCCCCTCTCGGCGGCTCCCGACAAAAAATAGCAACAATAATCTTCAGGGGGACTATGTTTTTGTATTGTTTGACTATGTGGGGATATGTTTAAAGTATTTCTAATTTTTTCGTCGCAAATCCCCCTGTAGGTGGACACGCCCGACTTACGACTGGCATCGTGGGTACGCGCCCCAGCCCCGGGGGGAATAGAGATTCCGAAGTGGAGGGAGGAGGAGAAGGAGGAGGAGGAGGAGGAGGAGGAGGAAATGGAAATGGAGGAGGAGGAGGAGGAGGAGGAGGAGGAGGAGGCAGCTCGCGAGCCGAAGGGAGGGGGCCCAACGCTAAGATCACGGAGGACATGTTCGTCGCCTACAACAGGAAGACGGACTAAGGGCTACGGCGCGCGGTGCGCGCGCCTTGGAGCCCGCATCGAAAGGCTCGAAAAGAGGAGGAGGAGGAGGAGGAGGAGGAGGAGGAGGAAGAGGAGGAGGAGGAGGAGGAGGAGGAGGGGGGAGTCTGCCATGGTTGGTCAGGCTGGGCTCAGCTTCCACAGAGGGTCGGCAGATTTTTGGGTGAGCGGCGAAGGAAACGGGGGCGCCCTCTTGGAAGGATAGCAGGAGAACAGCAACGAGGATACGAGTAGTAGTATTCTGCGGTGGTTCTCTATCGGGGCGCCTCTCACTTGGAACGCAGCCTGTGGTTGCATCGCCGTTGCGAAGGTTGAGCTCCCCTTTCTACCCACCTAGAGGCCAAACAAGTCCTCCCCGTCTTGCGCGGTCTGGGCGAGACCCCTCTCCCCTGATTCATCCTCATTTAAAAAGTGGCGCGTGCGTTGCCAGACTCATGCGCAACGCAACGAAGTGCCAGAGCTTGCGTTGCCACAGCTTGCGATCAGACGAAATGTTGGGAAACACCCCGATGGGCATGAAACATCAGGGTTTAGGTCACATTTGGAGGACTTCACAAGGAACGAGAGGAACCAATATTCTGTTCTGGCAGCTTTGCACAACCTCATGGCCAGCAGCCCAGCTCAATGGTCAGTGTGAGCATGGGAGCTCTAGTTTGTAGAGTATCATGGTTCAGCGCACTTGTCTTGTGCGCCCGTTAATATGCACTTGTTGAGCTATGTATGTTGTTGTTTGTCTTGAACTTGTGCTGGATATGTTTGGGGGGGGGGGGGGGGGGGGGCGCTTGTCTTTGTGTCCCTGGTACTGGCAAGTGGCAGTTTCAATGCGAGCCTGCCCCCCTCCCCCTTGCTC